TGTGCCCATTATGTCTGACCTACCGATTGAAAGACTGGGTTACAAGCAGCCTCCTTTCTCCAACACAGGTGTTGATTACTTTGGCCCGTTTCAAGTGCCAATACGCCGAAGTACCGAAAAGAGATGGGGTTTCCTATTTACCTGCCTCACGACTCGAGCAGTTCACATCGAGTTGGTTCCATCTCTCGATACTAGTTCCTGCGTCATGGGCGTAGAGCGATTTATTGCAAGGCGAGGTACCCCCAAAACCATTCTTTCTGACAATGGCACGAATTTTGTTGGTGCTCAAAAGGAGCTCCTATCCTGTGTCCAAAATTGGAACAAAGTCGCCCCGGCCGTTTTCGTCCACAAAGGCGTTAAGTGGAAGTTTAATCCGCCCAGTGCCCCTCATCACGGCGGCGCCTGGGAGCGGCTAGTGAGAAGTGTTAAGCGAGTGTTGTACGACATATTAGGCAGCAGGAGATTAACTGAGGAAGTTCTAGGAACAACGCTCTGCCTAGTTGAACAATTACTTAACGCAAGACCGATCACTCCGGTCAGTTCCGATCCGCACGACCTAGAGGCACTCACCCCGAATCACTTCATTCTCGGTCACAGCGCAGCTAGCTTCCCGTCGTTAAGTTTCGAAGATAACTTTGATCATAAAAAGCGTTACGCCAGAGCACAATCGTACGCTAACGCAGTTTGGTCACGCTGGCTGCGTGAATATGTACCATCTCTCAACAAGAGAGCAAAGTGGCATAATGATTCGGATGTCACACTGAAAACCGGCGACTTGGTTTGGGTAGTCGAACCCGACAGCCCACGTGGGCATTACCCACTCGCCCGTATTGCTAAACTACACTACGGCAAAGACGGATGCGCGCGATCCGCCGACATAAAGACCGTTACGAGCGAACTGACCCGCCCGACCGTAAAGCTCGCTCCCGTTCTTCCTTGTTTAGGGGTGGAGGATGTTGCAGCGCAAATATAAAACAATAGTACAAATGCATATACACTCAAATGTAAGCGAGAGTATAAGTGCATATAAAGTTGAACCAAAATGTAAATGCATATAGGGACAGTAGCCAAACGTATACATGGTGCGTCCCGGCGGGTTCGGCGCCGGTTCGAATCCCGACTAGGTCATTTCCTTTCTAGAACTCGAATGTGCACCGAACCTGATGGGATGCTCCGTAACCAGGTTCGGTCCCCCCAAAACCCATTTTAACCGTCTTTTCGCTCTAATTTGGTTCAGCCTTGATTAAGGCTGACCTTTAAAAAGAGCAATTTGTCTCAAGGACAAATACTGGCCATTTTTGCAGCTTGCTTTGAGTTATGCAGTTTATTGTGGCCGATGTTACCGATGATAAAGCTTGTTGAAAATTATAAATTATCGTTATATTTTCAAACTTCCGGAGTTATTTTGCCGAGAAAATACTCATTAATTAAAGTGTTTGAAAACCGTTTTTTATATAATCGTGGAGATTTACGCGCACACGTAGGTCTGCTTCAAAAGAAAAAAAGATTTCAGATGTAGCCCAAGTGATCACAATTGTTCGTCAGCACAGAAAATGAAGAAGACAAACTCCATTACTTCGGCTGAGAGAGAACATCAAATATTCTTAAAAAATTGTTATAAATTGAAGAGGTACATATCTCGAAACATATTAGTTGTGATTTCTGCAATTTGCAGAGGAGCTCTCGAAGGGAATTAACAGGGTCGCTTAAGGATAGCTGGTTTTGTATTTGCCCCACATTTCAGACTTTTTATTCGAAGCTGTTTTTTTGCAACCCAAGAACATTGTACCAGTATTGCAGCCAAATTAGTCAGGCTGTTTAAAACCTCAAACTGAAGGTCAAGCGAGAACTAACCTTCACACGCTATCATTGTTACGACAGGCAGGTGATCAAACATCGACCTGACGATCGCAACATTAAGATACTATCATGAACAAACCATCAACTTAAACATACATTAATAAAACCTCAACCGATTGGTACTTTGAGTACTTTCAACTTTTAATACAGAGACGCAAAGCTGTGACACCGCAAACAAAAGCAAGAAAAAAAAAATTAGTTCTGGAAAATTCGAAAGTTGAAAAAAAAGAACAAAAAAAGCAACTGGAAATACATATGCTAGTGACAAAATCGAAACCCGACCTCGAGATCTTGAGTCACACTCTTCCTAGCACCTGCGCCATGTTATTGAGAAAAAGTTATTATTAGTAATAAAAAATATTACGGCTCCAGCTAAAGCTGGAAGTACCAGTTTGATTTTAAAAAAACTTAAAATTGTACTAATGCGAAAGGTAATGCAAAACATCCAAAAAGTGTCAAAAAATGTACAATTATTAACAACATAGCCAACTACTATCAAAATTACAGAAAAAACAATGACACAGAGGAGATAAGAATATCTGCGTGCGATTGATTTCTCAACTTCAGAATTGGCGCGGTTGCTTTTGGAGCATTGAGTCCATGAAAATGGGTCCAAAAGTCCAAAAAAAGTGTACGAAAATTAAGATTTTAATTGCTATGCAGAGAAAAAATTTTTGCCCCTGTTTTATCGATTGAACACTATCGCAGATGTTTCAGGGTGATTTCCAGCAAAAGTTTCCGGATAACGGTCAGCCTAAAGTTTTTACATTAAATTAAGGTGTAACATTCATGCAGCAAAAGTTCTTTTCGTCTATGTTTTTCCCTAGCACCTTTGATCTTCAGATTTAATAAGGTAGTTTTCAAGAAAAATCAAAAGTTTTACAAAACAGCAAAAATTTGAAAAAAATTGTAAGCTTTCTAAGCCGGAAATAATTTTATAGAAACTGTTTATAGAGCAACACCATTTAGGCGCAGAAAATGCACCGAATCTTTTTTTATTGAACCTTTTACCTGAGATTTGGCAGAAGAGTTTTTCAGAAAAAATCAAAAGATTCCAAAAAAAGGTTAATATTTCGAACTGGTGTTTCTCTGGTCAATACCCAATTATTCTACGAAAAAAAGGGCGTAGAGGTTTTTTAGGAAAGGCTTTCCAGCACCGATTTTTGCAATTAAACCCTTAATTTCAAAACTAGCACGGAAGGTAGTGTTTAAAAAAGACTGGGTAGTTTTAGGCAGCGCAGTTTTTGAGATTTCTAAAACATTTTATCTTGATAGAACGATTAATTTCTGATTTTGCTTAGTAGTTTCCAAGAGAATGAAAGAAATTGGTTTCAAAACCCCCCACTGAAATTATCGAAGGCCGTAGAACATAATATGAAGTGAAAAAAAAGAACAGTCTAATGGACGAAACAGTCACATAGGGGGTAGCTGGTCTTTCTATTGGTACCATTTCCTCTGAAAATCAGTTCGGTGACTCTCGAGAAAATTTAAACGATTTGCGAAGAATTCAAGAAATTTCAAAAACGTCTCGAAAAATCATTATCAAAAAATCAAATCCGTTAGGTTTTCACAAAACCTATTTTTATCAGACAGGATCTAGCCACTATTAAACCAGAAAAAAAAGATTTAATGCTATACAGCAAAATTAAATCAGAAAAACTGCTGCATAAGTGTCAACAAATAAGTGAGCACTTTTATTTGCTACTTGGGCTGGAAAAAAGCAGTCAGTAATATGACATTACGGTCGGCTATATAACTCATTATAAAGCTAGCTAAGGTTCTATATATTCATTTCATAAAGCTTACAGTGCTGCCATTGCTAGGCCTTTTAACATACCAATGTTTTGTTAGCAGAAAGGTCGTTTAGCAGACTGAAACAGTGAATGGCTCAAGGCCCTTTCTTCTAACACGCGATTTGCAAGTATCTTCCATTTGTTCTGCTGCTCTTAAATATGGCTCGAGTGTTGTTTTGCAAGTAAATCAGCGTTTATCGCTACTTTTTTCTAACTTTGTCTTAGAAACACGAGTAATTTGTTGTCAAACCGTGAGATGATTGTCTTGATTTGTGGAAGCTCTATTCCAGAGTCCCCTGTTTTTTAAGTCAGATAATCAATTACGCGTCAGTGGTATCAGTATTATGCTTTCAATTTTAAGAGCTCGGTCTGCTAAAAAACTAAACGGTTGCTGCGCAAGTGCCACACAATTTCTTGATACAGCAGATTTTTTAGGATAAATATTTTCACCTAGTGATTGATTAAGAACTTTCAAGCCATGGAAAAATCTGTTTCCACTTGGCACATCTCGAGATTAAAATGTGACCTCAACACTGATTTATACCATTCAAAGCTAGTCCTGAAATTTCATTTGCAAATTCGCTTCCATGTATTTGCGAAGTAATTTGAAATCATCGATAGCTCAAAAAACTAGGTTTAAAAATAAATTAAGAAAACGAAAGTACAAAATAGACTACAGTTCAGCTCACAAATCAACAAATCAAAGAAACGTCACGAATCAACAAACTTAAGCTGTCGCTCCTATCTGAATTAAGCTCCATCAAACGACAGAAAGTAATCCATATTTTTCAATACTTCACTGAACATTATGAATAGCGATTATTTAAAAATTCAATTCAAGCATACCTTAACTTTCAATTTTTCTCGTTTTTTCATTGAACTAAAGTCTGTTCATTCAGTAAACTTTCCTCAGAAACTGTAAAAGAATCATTCCAGTTTTTTCTTCGAAAGATTCGCACGCCTACTTTACTTTCCTAATTGCACAATAAGCCTGAAAATATCAAGACAGCATTAAGTCCATAATTTAGTTTCATTCCACGTATCCTGTTCAAAGTTTCACGTCTTGTTCAATTCCGTCATCGTCAGCGTAAATGTGTTCTGCCAGTTTCCACACCTGTACAATGTTATCCTCCGACACAGAAGTGAGGAGCCAGGGGTCGGCTGCACTCCAGCAGAAGTCGGATATCTTGGCCGTGTGACCCCCGTGGATGAAGAGTAACTCGGGGGGTCCGTCTTGCTCGTCCTCGGCTGTCTGTTCGTCACCTATTTTGGACAAGTCCCACACAATCAGTCGCTTGTCAGTGCCTACACAAAACACACTTCAATTTGTGCATCTCTAACTATTTCTTCCCTGTTGCAATAGAGGCAGATTCGTTACTAGGTACGAATTTCACATATGCTTAACCGTTAAATTAGTTCTTTATATGTTGGTATGGTTTGTTACTAGGTAATAGAGGGAATTATCTTGGTACAAGTATAAAAGTTTTCTGCCTGAAATCAGCATCAGATTAATCGAATTTTTAAGTTTATTAACTAATTGTTATGACAAAAATGGCATCAAATCGTTATTCTCTTGCATACCAAGGTGTTAGTCGATTATCGACTAACCGCAAAAAAACCGAACAATTGGCAATATAAGAATATTAAAACGTAAGAGAGATAAATTTCGATTGATTAAAACGCAGAAGGAAAACAAGAAAAAGTAATCGCGTAGAGTTCCATGGTAACTTAAGCCTATTCTCCAGCCGACTTAAAATTCTGTCGAAGCAAACTCGCAAACTTCATTCCGACTAAAAGAGGGGCTTCAATATTGATACATCAATTGACTCCATCTGGTACTTCTTTGTGGTAGATGATTTGGCGTAAGAAACATCGGAATACAAAGTGCCTTCGCACTTTCAGTGATAGGAAAAAAAAACATAATAAGAATGTATACTAACTGGAGGACGCGAGAATAGTCTCGTTGTGTGGGGACCAGTTCACTTGGAAGATCTCATCTGTGTGTGCGTTGAACGAGTGCAGCTTCACTTTGGGGTTGCGCAGATCCCACAGGGCGAGGGTCTTGTCAGCCGAACCAGTGGCCAAGATGTTCTCGCTGAATGGGTTGAACGACAGACAGTTCACTTCGGCCTACAAAATAAAACGGATCTCTTTAACTATACCCCCCCCCCCCCCCTCAGGTACCTAGTAACGAATATCCCCCAAAAATAAATTAAAAAAAGGTTAAGCATATGAGAATTTCATAACTAGTACAGAATCTCTCCCCCCACCCCTTTGCAAAAGGGGGATATAGTTGAAGAGATCCAATAAAACTATCGTTTGGTAAGTTATCATGATCGGAATGATCAACTTAAGCTAATTGGGATTAACTCTGTGGAACTCTTGGACCCTTTCGGTGGTCGTGGGGTCGCATCTCGAAGCGGAAATGGAAATAGGGTGTTAAACAGTGGTATTAACCTAGGTTAAACAACAATACTAAGACGATGGGGGTACAATAAGATATTTAAAGTAAGACTAGTAAAAAGGCTGAATAGTTAAAAGGGGTAAAACTCTAAGCTAAACAAAGACTAGTTTAAAAACAAGTTAAGATATACGGTAATAATACGAACTATGCCATTGTTTTTCTGTTCCAAAAGCCATTGCGCTTGGCGGGGTATATTATTTGGCTGGTATAATTTAACTTCAACTACATAAAGACTGTCTCAAGGTTAAAATGATACTACTTGACAGTGGGGGGGGGGGGGGGGGGGGGCTTACACGAATCCACTTCTGCGTTATTTTCCGTTTTAAGTTGGGTATATTCATGCAGAAAGACAGAAACAACGAACTAATTTAATCGCAGGCGAAATAACTTTTTCTTACAGCCAGCATTTTTATAACAATAACTTCTTACTGTGCAACTTTACAAATATTGGATCTATCAGCTCTCATTGACTGTTTAACGCAACTGATACAAAACAAGATTTCATCACTTCAACGGACTGTATTGAAATCAATTCGGGTTCATTTCAATCTATTCGTTAAAAAGCGAACTTAAACAAATTTGATTTCGTTTCTCCCCTCACCTGGTGTGCGTCTATGATGGTGGTGGGCTTGCTGCCCTTGTTCCTCGAGTCCCAAATGAGCAGTTTCTTGTCATCGCCCACTGAGCCGAAGATATGTGCATGCAGCAAGTGCCAACTCACATCCTCAACCACAGACTCATGGCCTGAACAAACAATTCTGAACACTTAAGCTTCTTTACGGGCGCGTAGCGATTAGCATGTGTGCCTATTAGCATGCGATAATTGCTTTTACTATGTGTTCATTCAGAGCAAAAAAAAAACAAACGAGTCAAAATATTTATCTAGCTTTAAATTTCACTTGGTTTGTGAAAACTGGCAAAATGCACACAATTCAAAAATGCACATCTAAGTAAACAAATCTTGTAATGGTGAGCCAGTCAACCGCGTTGTTTTACAAGGACCTGCTAGTCCACACACATGCTAATATGCATGTCCCTGTTATTTCCTTTACTAACAAAGAAGAACTTGCTTTCAGGTACTTAACTATCTCGCCTAAACTTTACTTTGAACAAATATATGGGATTCCTGATAATAAAGATATACTTGCTTTAAATACAAGCCTAGAGTTTTCATACTTAAAGTAAGATAGCAAATCGTTAACGGAAAAATAAATTTGAGCTCCACTTGAAGAAAGTGTTGGAAAAGAGGCGTAAAGGTTCTTTGAATCAAATTTCCAAAAAAAACAGGGGCAAAGCAGCACTTCGCAAACAAAAGGAAAAAATGGCGAAAAGTAGCTTAAAACATTATTTTTTAAAGGGAAATAAGGACTGATTTTAAGAAATGAAATTAAGAAACATTTCCACTAGTGTCGGAGTCTCACCCCGATCTGGAGATCAAGAGACAGATGCTATTTAATTGTCAATATTATACCAGCAAAAAACCACCAAAAGAAAACTTTTAATTGCAAGTTGGGTTGAAAAAAATGTGGTCTTCAAAACATGACACTAAGCTTGCTTCCGTAAAAACGAACGTGAGCAAAAGACTAAAAAGATCTACTGAAAATAAAAAACACCTAAGCGATTCACTTCGTATATTAAAACCTCGTAGCTTACTAGCTCAATTAATCTGCATGCAAACTGAATTGCTAGTTTTTGTAGAAAAAATACAACTTTCTGAAATCTTATGAGACTAGGCTCACTTTTTTTCGTAATTGAGTGAAACTGATTAAGATCTCCGGTGCGTCAAAATCAATTGGGCCTATATAAATTGTCCTTAAAAATCAGCAGGACCTACAAATAGCTGTATGATTTGTACCTGTGAATTTGTTGGTGGCGTCTATGGCCTTGGCCTCCCTGGGTGCCCCGTTGATGTCCCACATGCAGATCATGTGGTCGTCCGAGGAACTCAACAACTTCCCCACCGACTTCACACTCCACGACAGACCATAGCCCTCCTTCTCGTGGCCTGCAATGGGAACACGAACAGTATAACATTAAACAGGGCGAGGTGGCTAAGCCTCCGTCTCTCTTTCGAAAGGTCGAAAGTTCCAGGCCCACCATGATCCGGGCTCATTGCTTGATTAAAGGTCAACACTAGCAAGCCTAGAAAAATACAATCAAAAATGTAGGTCTTAATCAGAGACACAACAACAGTTCTCCATAAAGAGCCGAGCAGCTCTTTTGTTGGTCCTATTCCTTGTAAATAAATTGTCTCAAATTGAAACTTGTCTCAAATTGAAACTCAGACCGTACTTTACCATATATATGTTGTTTAAACAAAAAAAAACAAATTGATATACGTTTAAAACAATTTAAAACAGTCTAAAGATTGTTTGACCTCAGAAAAATTACTACCGACAAAAAATTTGAATTCAACAACCGCATACAAAAAGATGTTTATATAACTTTTGTCTCGAAGTCAAAAAAAATTAAATGCCCCTAAATTAATTATTTTTGCCAATCATCCATTGAAAGGCATACACTTGATAAATATTTTGATGTTGGTTGAAGTGAGCTAACGTGAAACATTAAGCGCAGCAAATGCACACTTTGTGCAAGACTCTCTAAACACGACCGTTGGTCTTCTAAAAATTACACTAATACACGTTTCGGGAAAAATACATAGCAAATTGAGCTTTTCTTTCCTTCTGCCAGAGCTCTCAATGTGAATTATTCGACAAGAGATTGTCGAAAACCTGGAGACAATTAAACCTTAGCTCCAATCCGATGGGAAACTTCTAACTTGTGTCCGACTCAGTTTTATTTCTTTTATTCACTTTGAAGTTATATTCTGACTCTGCTCCAAAATTTAACCTTTCTTATTTCACGGTTGTTTCAAATACTTTTGTTTTTGAATGCGTTATTTTACCATATAAGGTATGAAGAACAAATGCTCTGAGAAAAACTACGTGTACATTTGCTTATCATGTAAAATCTCATTACAAAATTAGTGCAACGTTGCCATTTCAAGGCAAAACTGTGGAATTTACAAGGCAAAACTGTGGAATTTACAAGGCAAAACTATGGAATTTACAAATAAAAACAGTGGAATTTACAAGGCAAAACTGTGGAATTTACGAGGCAAAACTATGGAATTTACAAAGAAAAACAGTGGAATTTACAAGGCAAAACTGTGGAATTTACAAGGCAAAACTGTGGAATTTACAAGGCAAAACTGTGGAATTTACAAGGCAAAACTGTGGAATTTACAAGGCAAAACTGTGGAATTTACAAGTCAAAACTGTGGAATTTACAAGGCAAAACTATGGAATTTACAAAGAAAAACAGTGGAATTTACAAGGCAAAACTGTGGAATTTACAAGGCAAAACTGTGGAATTTACAAAGCAAAACTGTGGAATTTACAAGGCAAAACTGTGGAATTTACAAGGCAAAACAGTGGAATTTACAAGGCAAAACTGTGGAATTTACAAGGCAAAACTGTGGAATTTACAAGGCAAAACTGTAGAATTTACAAGGCAAAACAGTGGAATTTACAAGGCAGAACTGTGGAATTTACAAGAAAAAACAGTGGAATTTACCAGGCAAAACTGTGGAATTTACAAGGCAAAACTGAGGAACTTACAAAGCAAAACTGTGGAATTTACTAGGCAAAACTGTGAAGAAACACCAAATTGTGCATGTAGGTTACTGGAATCCTGCGACAAGCCTTTAAAAGCTAGTAGACGAAAATGATTGCAAAATTTACAGCCATATGCTTGTAGCGTAAATTTTGACGGTATTTAAAAAGTCGGATGCCTCAAATAGTGTACATCTATTTGGATGCCCCAAATAGTGTATTGTACATCTACTCAACCAGACTAAATTTGAGACGAATTACTATCAATTTGCGGAATTTTCTATTTGTGGAACTGAATTTGTGAACAAGGATATACGTTATTCCACTGTAAATGGAATACAATGGCAAATTTTAACACAGAGACCAAGCTGCGCTTGGCAACCACAAGCAAAAACTGGCAAAAGGGACATTTTAATTAGCAAGAAATTAAAAGAAAGAAAACAAGGTTAAAAAACCCAAACGGCAACTAAACATACGCCATCAACTGCCTCCAGCTTTCAAGTCTACTGTCTTAGCAAATGAGCTGAATGAGCATTCTATCATGCAAATACCAGCGACAAATATATTGACTGTATTTACCAAATACAAGCTACATAGGTACTAAATTTGGAACTTTTGAGAAACTGGCACTAATTTATGCGACTTGGGTTACAAAACACTTGCGATATCACACAGGCATAGAATTGCAAGCTATCAGAAAAAAATGAAAAAAAAAATCGAAAAAACCAGAACTATTAAAATTTTATACTATTAATGGAAATGATGGTCAATTTTAGCAAAACACGCCCAGAAACACAATCGTCCACGTTAAGCAAACAATCAGAAGCATCTATCGAGCGGCAATTAAGCCGAAAAAAGTTTTTATAATTAAAATCCTATGTAAACCCTTTGTATATTCAATGAACAAACTCCCATTGAGCCTAAAATAAAAAACAAAACAGCAAAAAACTGAGCGATTAAACACCAAAACGACCTGATTTTGAAAAAACAACAATACTCCATTTTGCTCTTCAAATGACAGAAAATAGTTTGACTAAGCCGATAAAAAGATGAACTTAAAAAATTCAAGCAGAAAAACTTAAAAAGATATATAAAATCTGGATTGGTAAAATTCAAATGTACAGGATTAAATCGGTAAGGCTTTCACTACAATGAAAATTGCTTTGAGAAAAAAACCGTGATGATGCAACTAAGTTCTGACAAATCACAAGCAGACAAACAATAGGCCAACAATTTATTTGAAACTCAAACGTTCCCGCTTGAAAAAACCAGCTCCCAGTGAGATCAAACCTAGGATCTCTGCCATTCCAGGCGTAGTCGTTACCTTAAGACTAAGCGTGCCGGAGAAGCCAGAAAAAAATCATTTTATTAGAAGCCAACTACACACGAATCAAATGTTTTGTTAAACAAGTTGTTAACCTGATAAAAAAAAGTAAGCGTGGCTAACCAAAAGCGTCAAAAAGGCACATTTAACTCCTTCATGTACACGTCTAACTAACAAAATTTGCACCAGATTTCCAGGAAAAAAAGCCGCATCTCACAATCGAAGAAATGTTTCACCATTTGGGATAAACACTAAAGGTGGAGTTGAACCAAAAACTGCAATTGTGCTGAAACATTCCAATTAGATATATCTAGATTCGAAACAACGTTCTCAAAAATATTCCATACCAGACATTTGGTGGCTAAATTTTGTTCTGAATTGGGCATTGAAAGTTTTCCGTGTTTCGGCTTCAGGAAATTTTCAAATTAAAAGAATAAGACAATTGTTTTTCGGCACGTGTTTAAACCTCGATGATTTCCTTATTTGAACTATACTATAATCCAGTTTCATTTTGATCTTAGTTTTTTCCATTAAAGATCAAACGTTAGAAAAAATTATGGAGTACACTAACGGAATCGATGTAACAGTTTGATCTGAAAAATTACAATTACGTTTGGAGAGGAATTAAATCAGATATGCCGTTTCATTGTCCTGCGGAATATGACAATTATTTAATTATCGTAGAAAAAAGGAATTAGGATTATTTTTAGTAGTTTTTGAAGCAATTGATCTTTTATTTTCATCTTCCCCGTGTCTTTCAGAGCATTAAAGATATCCCATTTAGATAGTTTCATGTGTCACGCGCACCAATGGTAAAAAATTATTCAATCTTCAGTCAGAAAATTTATCTCACAAGCGAAAATATCATTTTTATACCTCAAATGGTTCACTTTAATTGAACTACAATGTACTTTAGTGAAACTTTGAGTGGAAGTTTCACCAAAAAGTCGCCCATTATGCTTTCAAACACAGATGCGGATCCTACAATAATTTCTTCTCGTCGAATTCACTGCACACGTGTAATACTTAGCAGCTTTAGCAAGAGTTTGGAGCAGCATTAGTTTAAAGTATTTGTCTCTGGATTCCATGCCACAAAAAAAATCCAAGAACAGCCTTATAGTGGGATCCACGAAACCGTTTTTTTCTGCGGATTCAACTATCAGCTGAATACGCACTGCAGAATACGCACTGCAGAAGTTGGGCGTTTTATTGCAATAAGCATTAAAAATTGAAATGCAAATGTTGGGGGGCGTATTAGGAAAAGAGCCTCATCTTTTGTTTACAATGGAACAATTTTTTTGTGTTTAAAAATATATACAAATTAACCCAATCCCAGAATCTAATACAAAAAGGCCATGCGGCTACCTGTCCTTTTGGTGTTCTTCCAAATAGGGATTTTTAAATCAATTTTGTAAACAAACAATTAGTTCCCTTCAAAACAAATTTATGATTATTATCTTGATCCCCTGCCCTTTCCTTTTACCTTTCAGCCTGAGGTCGGGCGTGCACCCCCCTGTGGGCTCTGGGTCTGCGGGGTACTTGGTGTAGTCGAACACCAACACGTCTGTGCTGGGGGTCTTAGTCGCTATGATCTTGCTGTTCTGCGGCATGTACCTACAAGCAGAAACGCATCAAGTATTTGTGAGGTGACTTGCGATCCGAACATTTAAACCAAATAATTATATGGCACACTTCTATTGACCTTCCTTTTAACAAATAAAACTGAATTGAACTGGAAAACAAATCAGATGTCAAACCGCGAAAAAGAAATCAAACTTAAGCGTGAACAAATTTTAGGACTTTTTCCTGAAAAAAAAACCACACGACGTAAATAAGTGGAAATTTATGTGGTTCATTGGCTTTTAAAAAAAAATTGTCTGATGATGAAACGAAGGTTCGGAAACAATCAAATAGAATATTTCAGAAACCAAACAACTAAGATAGTGACTTCCAGAGGAAGAAAACGATTTCATTATCAAAGAACTTGTTTTTTTTTTTAAAATTATTTAGTTTCATACTGACGAAACGAGTTACATACACCTGTTGAGAACAAAAACTTTTGGAATTTATACTCTCATAGCAATCGGATACTTCCGGTTGTCATAATTCGGCTAAACTTATGCCAATGTTATATTTCCCAAATAGCTTTCCAACTGATTTCAGGACGTTTATAGCGGTTGGGTTGTTTATTTTTAGGTCAAAGTCAGAAATTGGACAGATAAGCCTAATTTTGGCCCTTATTTTCTACAAAATTGGAAATATTTCTCAGTTTTAGAAGAACTCGATTTCATTTAAAGGTCTCTTCCATTGCTTTTTTTCCCTTCGACCGAACAAAAATTATAGTGACTTTAATCTTTTTAATCTTGAGAAATTTGGTTCAAGAAGTACTTTTCGGTAATATTTATCGGCAATTATTCACTTTAAGAACACTTAATTATCTTAGCCTTGTTCTGAATTAGGAAAACAAAACGGTTTTCATGGATTATCGATCAGAAGAAAAAACAACTGTCTGCTACTTCAAAAACTTCCATCAATTACTCATAACCCACTTAAACCTGAAGAACTAAACACTCAAAAAACACCTTTGATAAATTGATAAAAAACAACACTTATACCATCCCTTAAAATCTCTTCACTTGTGGTGAGTTGAAAAGGCTTAAAAATTGGCAAAAATCTGATAATTTGAACACGCCGAGTAGTCGCGCGCGTTCCTCCCTCAAAAATTATTAACCGTGAGAGTCTGACTACAAATTTTGGCAATATTTTTGGTTTCGACCAATCAGGTGCGAGAATTTTCATGTCCGATCTCGTTTCGAGAGTTAGAAACTAGCGCCGTTTAAGTAACTGAAAAAAAAAACATATGTAAGTATTGGCGATGGCAAGTCACAAACCTTGCCCTGTTAACTTCTCCCTCGTGGTTGATCTTATGGACCACCTCGAGTCTGCCTTGTATGGGGCCGAAGTAGCCATAGTTGGCCATAGCTGCATCCTGAGCATTCAGATCCAACACTGCCTCCTCAGTGGGTATTTTGACATTGGCAATCAACAAGTGGTTCTGCTCATCTGTAGTGTGAGTGCCCAAAATCATCTTGTGCAGAGTGTAGTCTAGAAATATGAACATAAGTCGTGCTTTTTATAATTAATGCCAAATCGTCCACTGACTCGAGCAAATAATGGTGCTGTCAGGTTAATTAAGATTTTCTGGCACAGTTTTTTATAAGTAAGTATTTCAACAAAGAAAAATCAAAATAGGGCTACAAACTTCATTCAGATTCACTGACCAAAAAGTATATTATATTGCCAAAAATTAGGCACCAACTAAACAGGCACTAAATTGAGATCATCAAGTTACAACATACTCATTTAGAGATATAAAAAAGCAAAAATTCTGGATCTACTTAACAATCCTACCCTTTCTTGAAAGTGGAGAAGATTGTTAAGTAGATCCAAAATTCTATTTTTTGGCACAAAAATGGGGTAAATTTAAGCATATTCCAAATCATGGTGTAATCTAAAACTGAAAACATGTTTTCCTAAACAAGTTTGAATCAGTATTTTTCAATGTAACCATTTGTGTAACAATACGTAAACTTAAACATGCAGCCACACATGTGTAACAATTAGCTAATAGCATTTTTTAAATCTGGATTCGTCAAACCCACCCGACCTTTTGTTACCTTGTAAAATTCAACCCCCTGTAACTTTACCCCACTTATATTTACATTAACAAGGAAACTAAAAGCAATCACTTCATGATCAAAATGGAAATAAGTTCAGGTGGTCTAATTTCAGAAAATACATTTATACACACAGACTAAAAACAATAAAAGCTAGCAGACAAAAAATCAAACGAGAGCCCTTGAATAAAAAAAAATAAAAATAACAATTACAAAATACTCATGATGTTGACACGAATGATGTTCAATTTGCGGAAATCACGTCTAGCAGTACAATAGCCGGCGTGAAAAAGTATTCAGAAAAATTTATATAGGGGCAACTAAGCCAACAAAACTTGAGTAAACTCCAGTTGAACCGAAAACAAAATCATTGTCATGAAAAAGTTTTGAGCTATAAAGCTCCGAAAATCTATTATTTTGATCCTTTTCTTTCGGAGAGGGGATGTAAAAATATGTTTCCCGTCAAACGACGCAAAATTAGGTCACTAATCCGAAAAACAATCCGAAACCATTTTATTAGCCTAATAAAATGAAAAAAGGAAAATATACGAAGTCAAGGTTAGTATATTTACAAATTACAGGCATAAATCCAAATCACTTGCAACAATTAAAATTCCTTAGAGCACAAAAAATTCTGCGATGTGTCAACTAAGCCGAATAACAAGACAATGAGACAAAAGAGACTGAAGTTTTTTTGAACAGAAACTTTATAGTTCAATAAGAAGGTTCCCGCTAGATTCGAAACTTCGGTACATTAAATTTTCTCCAAATTTAACCTTCTTTTAAGCTGCAGTTTGACGAAATATGTGTGACGTAATATGTGAGCTCGGATGCTTACTACTTTTCAATTAGCCATTTTTGCCATGTAGCCATGTCCGAAAGATAATATTGTACTGAGCTCATAAATAAAAAGATATTTTTACCTGTGACCATTTGCTTAAAGTAATGGGTTTGAGTTTTGGACTGCTTTGGGATACTTGGGATAATTATTGGCGCTATTTACGTGAACGTGGCCATTTTCCGGCCGAAGCTAGACCAGTGGTAATTAATCAAATTAACAGGCAACAACATAGCTATGCAACGAAAAACGAGAGTTCGCTGACTGTTAATTTAAAAAACTAATTCAGTTCTGGGACTTATTATTGTTTTGTTACGTCGTAAAATAAACGGGTTGAGACCGGGTTCGGGTCTGAAAAACGTAGCTCGACTCATCCTCTGACGTAAGCGGCAAGTTAAGCCGACTAAGCAATCATTAAAAAACGTTACTAGATTATTTTTCTGGGTTGGGTAATGTTGCTTCACCCTCAAGCAACGAGCACGGATCATGGTGGGCCTCGAACATCCGACCTTTCGACAGAGAGGCGGAGACGTAACCACTTCACCACCGCTCCCCTATTAGACATTGTATTTAACGTCTCGTATGAGAATTACAAAAAATTGACAAATTTTATCATTTCAAAACCCAAAAAGCACTTCAGATACTTCTAAGTGAACATTCAGAGCTCCGCGCCGATACAAGCAGTCCTGTGTAGTTAATTGAATTAAGTATTGAATGATAAGTTTGCGCTGAAGAATATTGACACACTCAATATGTCAAAGTTGAAAATCTTGCCACACTTTCCTAAACAAACATATGATTGATTTCAAATCATAGGGACTTTCAACAACGGACTTTCATATAAAAAAAAAATCATTTGACTTTTTCATGCTTTTTAATCGCGACATACCAGCTAAAAAAGAATATCTCTTTATAAAACTGTAAATGAATACTCCTCTAACTTTGCAAAAAGAGAAAAACAAACAGAGTTAAATTTTCAACTGTGTTAGCTAATTTTGATAGGGAACAGAAGATTCAGGGTTCGACGTCCAAAATTGGAGGCCTTTAAAAGCAATCAAAACTAAATTTCTCTGAAGTCTCGGGCTTGCAAGAAGATAAATCATACGGTGAAACAATCGAAAGTTTTTACATACTAACCAGGCAATCATATCATCATATCAGTAACAACATAAAAATAGTGAACGGTTTCGGTTTGATGGGACTTGGTTCGAAAAACTTAAAATAAGTTTGACACGAGCGGGATTCAAACCTGAGTGTTCTGTTTTGTTCACATCTGGCATCCACTGAACTGTGAGACTGGGCCACTCTAGTGCATGGGCCATGACCATGTCATATAGAAAAGGGACATTCCTCTTCCACACTTTGAAGTCCTCCAGAGTTTTCATCTCATCCGAGGACATTGAGGTCGCACTTGTCTCCGATTTCACTTCGGATGACGTCATTTCTGATGCTGACAGTTGTCTAGTGTCACTTAATTGAAGGATAAAGTGTGATCAACACCACTCAGAATCTGAAAACATTCACTCATTGATGCTATGTTTACTTATTTTTCCGTAGGTAATTTTGTCACTGAAATGTACGAGAAACACGACTACCAGCTATAAATAAGCTTTAAGTATTTATAGAGCGGCCACTAAGCCGACAATTCATGCAATAAAAAATGCTATAAGAAAATGTAGTCATAAAAACATTAAGCGTTTAAGTTTTTAAAATTTTAACTTTACACCACGAACAATCCGAACAATTTTAACTAACAAAACCAATTTTTGTCCTTCTAATGACACAAAATAAGTTGAATGAGCCGTTAAACTTAAGCTGAAACCATTCGGACCAAAAAAAAGCTTTTAGTGAAAACACAACAAAAGGAAAACATAAAAAGTCAGGGTTGGAAAATAACACATAAGACGATTAAGTCAACAACGATTGCAACTACAATGAAAAATGCCATTAGCTCAAGAAGAATCCGCAATGTTACAACTAAGCAGCCAAAAAATAGCAGACAGACGGAAGTTTGGCATTTCAATTTTTCCCGGAAAGAAACTTTCAACTTCATACATACAATCAGACTCAAATCCGAACCTAAGGGTGCTAAGGCCAATTAGAAAAAGACATAATCTTGATTATGTAGGATCTGGTTGAAATAGTTCCTGCTTGAAAAATGGAGAGAACATCCAATAAGCCAATGAAATTACAAAATAAATATACCGATTTTATTCAAAATAGATGTTTTAGCAGTAGTTCACTTTTTTAATTTACAATGGTAGAAAAAGAACGGATTGAGCGGAAAAAAAATGCAGCTTCATCTTAGATAAACTGTTTTTACCTTCAACGCGTTAAGCTTCGTCGTAAATAATAGTTGACTTTCGAAGACAAATGGTTTTGGTTTTTTCTCCAGATTTAATGAAGTTTGATTTGGCCATTTTTTAAGAAATTTTTACACCGTCTGAAAAATATCGTTGCTTTGATCCCAAAAATTAAAAGATTTTTAACCTGTGCTCATTTTTCACTCAGTAATGGAGTTCAATTTTTGAACTGCCTAGGCCAATTTGGGATAAATAATTGCGCTATTTACAAGTTTTTGACCATTTTCAGAAAGTTGTAATAAAAATTACAAATTATAGGGATGATTTAACAACACTTGCAGCACCAAACAAGCTTCCTTGCAGCTCAAGAAACATATGGCAACTAAGCAGACGAACATAAGCAAACAAACGAAAAATCAACAAATAAATTTTTCACTGAATTGAAAATAAACAAGGTCCAGCCGAGACTCCAACCCGATGCAAAGGCATCTGTGTTACCTCTAGGCCAAGTGGGAAGGACTCTGAAAAGTGCTAAGGCTTAAAATAAAAGCTGATCCCAAAATTGGAACTTATCCCACAGCTTATTCAACTCGAAAAAAAATCTATCATCATCAATGTATAGGAGTTACTTCAAACCATTCGCATAATTTTTTTGTACTAGCCATGGACTCCGCGAGTGAAAACTGATTGGAACTTCAGTTTAAGTCAGTTGCTGCCGTTCGTTGTTTTGAAGCTTGAATTAGTACTTCATTGGCTATAATAAAAAAAAACGTTTTAAAAACATTCAAAAACACTGCACAAAAAATAAACCAAAATTGAGCCTCCTTCTTATATACTTAATTATGACTATATAAAGTATTTACTCAGAGGCGAAGCTACGCTTGGCAAACACTAACGAGAAAATGACAAAAAAGCAGCACTATAAAGTGAAATAAGAAAAGATAGAAATAAGCTTAGAAAACGAAAATTTTTTAGAGTTCCCTGTCTTCACATCTGCGCCACGAGCCCTTGACGAGTAAAACACGAGTAAAACAGCTACATATGCTAATAAATTTCCAATCCCATGCAGCTAAGGTGGCAGCACCAAATACCAAAAGACACAATTTGCATGTAATAATTTGTGGAATATAACAAATTGAAGGCAGCCGCACTAACTTTGCATGTCATAAATTGAACTATATAAAGCCAAATTATGTATAAAGTATGCATTTTTAAAAAATGCGCGGGATATTGTGCTGGAAAATTTTTGAAATATGGTTTTTATTGTCCTGTTGTTTAAAACAAATAGCTTTTTTCGGATCATTTGATGAATTGAAAATGCATCAACTGTGATAACTTATTACTAATCGAGTGTCAAAGCGCATGCTATCAAAAGCTGTAAAGGTTCCAACAGAATTGGCACCATCATTTCGACTTAGGTTGGGGAAAAATACTCTTGTTTTTACACTACGCTCGCTAAAGCTCACAATTGTAAGATCTAGCTAATCAGGAACAATTAAAACATATCGGATCATTTGATGAGTTGAAAAGACATCAAATGTGTTAACTTATTACTAATCGAGTGTCAAAGCGCATGCTATCAAAAGCCGTAATGATCCCAACAGAAGTGGGACCATTATTTGCGACTTCCATTGGAAAAAAAGAATAGTCGTACTATTACACTACGCTCGCTACAGCTCACAAGCGTAAAAACTTACCAATCAGGAACAATTGAATCATATAAAAATCCGGAAAAATATACTTATCTGATCAGTTTAATTGACCAGACGGCATGAAAGACATATTGAAATAATGTTGATCTCATCTTAATTTCGCTTTTACCAGAAATATTGAGACAACAAACATTGAGAGCAGGACTAAAACAAGACTGGACTAACGACTAGCACGAATCTGACCGCAAAAATGATAACGTGACAAGCATACGGTGTATTAGGACAGAAACTACTCAACAAGACTGCTCGTATCAGGGCGAAGCCCTGAATGTTCTGACTTCTTTTAAGAATTTATGGAGCAGTAACAACATTAAAAAACTAGGCTCTTTTTCCTTTTCCCCCCACCTCACATATCATCAATTTTATGTTGTAACGAGGAGTTTTACAAGGTTAAGTATGAAGACCAAATATGTTTGTCATAGCCTAATTAGTTCGCATACCAATTTTTGTAACAATAGGATGATGTGAACAAAATTATACTATTAAAATTTCGCTGAAGTGGGGAAAAGGAAAAAGAGCCAAAAATTAAATGTAATAAAATTAAATGAAAAAATTTTTTTTTTCTTAAATTTGAATTTTATTTATGAAAATTATCCCCCCACACGCCTTATAAACTACAAAAGATAAGACTTCGATCGTTGTAACAAATCAATTAAGGCAAATAAGCTTCTTTCTACCAATTTGGAACGAATTCTAAGACGGATTAAATCTCCGCTCACGCGTTAATAGCGCGAAATATATCGCGCGTTAATTGTCCCAAATTGGCCAAAATGAAAATCTTTAAACCCTCATAACCTTACGAAAAATGATCACAAGTGAAATATTTTTTCAAATTAACCTTAGGACAACAATACCTTTCGAACGAGGTAAATAAAAATCCGTCAAAAATGACTAGCTAAAAAGTCGAAATTTGTTTGAAGGAAAAAAACCCACCCCGAGCGCAAATATTCCGTTACTTTCGTATCGAAAGTCGGAACAATAAGTGAGCCCCTCGGACTAATCTTACGACACTAAACAGAAACTTCAGTCCAAATTGAAACTAGCAGTTAACATTTTTTCTGGTTATTTGTTGTGGTCAACTTTCGTTATTTCATGGATTTGAAAATTAAAAATCAAACCGCAAAAAAATCAAATTCGAGCGTGAACAACTTCTAAGACATTTTCCTGAAAAAAAATTAAGATGTCAAAAAACGTGTGTTAACTTCGTTTTTCGTATGTTGACACTGCAAAAACCACGATTCATGCAAACGGTTAAGCATTTGAGCGGAATTTGCACCTATTATCGGATGCGGCTCCTTTTGCAACAAGGAAGGGGGGTAGCAAAGAGATCCGAAAACAGTTTTTACTGATTTATTGTGAAATCTGACTTAAGAAGAGGAACTGCCTTCTTCGGATCCGACGAGTCTAACTGCCTCAGACATAATCGAAACTGCGATTCCAACTGATCCAAGCGATCAATGTCGCTTTTGCTCAGTGTATTTTTCAGTAATGCATCCCAGCCATTGAATTTGAACCATTTCAACGAAGGGTGAGACGACAAAAAAGCCATTTTCCGAGCGCCCTCTTTGCGCCCCTCGCAGAAAAAAAATCGATTCGACTTCAAAACTGAAAAAACAGACTGAAAGCTTGCCCGTTTCAGTTGAAATGACTGATTAGCAAATTTTTATACTCGCTTTTTCTACCTGATATTGTATTCGTTTACATTTTTTGGGTCGAATAAATTTATAAAACCCAAGAATGGCAGGACAAAATAGTCCAAGCACAGTGTGACACACTTCGGCAATCATCCAAAGGAAACCAAAATGCTGCCGATTTCAATCTGGCTTGTTCTCCAGTGGTGAAGTTCTCCCGAAGCCTCGACATCCAATCATCTGCCACGTAGTTCGTAACATACAGGTGTTGTAAACCCTTACAAATGTCAAAAAAAAGTGGAAACCTGTTAGATGTAATGAAAGTATGACACGATTCAGACAGATTGAATTCTTTTATTTGCTCAGCGGGATCGTCATACTGACATGTCAAACAAGTCGTGTTTAGAACCCAATTGAAAATACGTCAAAATGAATAATGGACAGAAAAAGTCACACCTCAAGACAGATTTTTTAAAAACATCTTTGATTTAAATTGAATGAGGAAAAACAAGAAAGTATTAGCAACACTGTAGAGTTTAGTCTGGAAAAAACATCGAAACTTACTGCATGATTTTGCGGTAAAGCAAAACGCCGCAAAATTTTAATGCATCAAGTTGAATTGAAATTTTTGGTCAAAAAAGGGTCTTAATAGTGATTTAGGAGAGCTCAGAAAATGAATTTGGTCGACCAAGAAAAAAGTTAGACAAAATTTTTGGAACTTTTTTGAAAATCCCTCCCCCTCACCTCTTTCCTCGAGATTAAGAAAATCCTAGATCCGCCTGCTCAGAAACCTAATAGCTTGGAAAGCCTTGCAAAATTTGAAACTAAAACGTCTAGCATCAAATTCCAAGCCGAATCATCGG